TCTCTCTCTCTCTCTCTCTCTCTCTCTCTCTCTCTCCGCAATTGCCATGCATTGCATTGCATAACAGTTTTCATAATTTTCCTAATGCTTTGCATTTAGAAATCAAGTCAAGTCTCGCATCTCTTCATTATTTATCTCTCTTTCTTATGGCATAAAATCTAATTTTGATTCCGAGCTCTACTTTCCTCCACCACTACTACCACTATATTATGTAATATTTCTTTTCCGCTAATCGGATCCAATGCCTGCCACACACGCTATACCAATGTCTTCGCAAACTATCCAAACGTTTTGGTTAAATGTGACACAAAAAATAGAAATCACTTTTAAAATCTAACAAAACGGTTATTTGATATCTCTTTTACAAAACAAGAATCGCATTAATTTTAACTCTTTTTTACCCATATCTTCGCTCAAACGACTTACTCTTTATAACAAAAGCTTTGTTTAAACAACAAAACGATAGTTTTATTTATATTTTTAAAGCATTATATCATTTGTAATTTCCAAACTAAACTAATTTATTTGCGCACAAAATAAAAAAACTATTTTTAATGTAAATTATAAACTTATAAAACACTTGTGTTTACAGAACGAGATAATTAGCCGACGATTTTCGCGATCAAACTCACTAAACAGTGGTTGCCTTCCCGGACAACTGCCCAAATTTTACTACCCATTGGGTCGGCCCTATTCATCACATGAGGTCGAGACACAGATACGCAAAATAACGGCCGTTTTTGACCGCTTTCCGGCCAGAATTGTTGGCCGCAAAGAGTTGGGAGCGATACTCAAAATAGTCGGTTTACCCCTCTATTGGAAGGAACCCGTGTTTAGAGCTGTGAATAACTCAAACATTAATATTAATAACAATAATAATAATAATATAAATAATGGAAATGGAAAGAAGGATGTCATCAGTTGCGAGGCTTTCGTCGACTATTGGAAAAAGTAATGCAATCCTTATATTAATATTTTATTCATTTATTTCTATCGATACGGCATTCCCTATGAATTTATCATTAGTATCGCTGATCATTGCGCTCATAATTGATTGTTGTGTTTGTATTTCATTACTCTTAATACCCGTAATATAGAGTGATATCGACGTGTTATGACAACGCGTCGCGTTTTGTCAAAATCCTGACTTCGGGTCAACGAAACTATCTGTTGCCCGAAGACTTCGGACCCATGATTCAGGACGTGATCGACACACACCCGGGTCTCGCCTTTTTGAAAGAGGCCGAAGAGTTTCACTCGCGATACGTGCATACAGTGATCGCCAGAATCTTCTATTGCGTGAACAAGTCGTGGACGGGAAGGATATCATTGCCTGAACTGAAAAAGTCTAACTTTTTGCAAGTCGTGTCACTTCTCGAAGAGGAGGACGACATCAACCAAATCACTGATTACTTCTCTTACGAACACTTTTATGTGATTTATTGCAAGTTTTGGGAGTTAGACAAAGACCACGACCTCTTCATTAGTAAAGCCGATCTCAGCCGACATAACGACTCCGGTATTTCATTCACATGTTTTCATTCATTGCATTTGATTTTAACATTAAATTAAATTTTTTCCTATATTTTGACAGCAATTTCCTCGCGAATGATAGACCGATTATTTTCAGGGGCTGTCACTCGGGGTCAGACCCGAAAGGACGGCCTCATGTCGTACTCGGAGTTCGTTTGGTTCATACTGTCCGAAGAGGACAAACGCCACCCGCGGTCTATAGAGTACTGGTTTCG